AAAGAGAAAAAAAAAAAGAGAAAAAGGGGGGGGTGGGGGGGGGGGGGTTCTCATAGTCGTGCATGCCGTAGTCGTTTGACCATTGACCTCGCATCCCTACAAAGCCGGGATGGAGCACGCCGGGTTCTCACCGGACCAGGCTCTCACATCACCAAGCGCGAAGCGCCGTGAGGTATTTGGCGAGTCGCATGAAGGGTGAGCTGCATCCTGCTAAGGGTGTTCGGCATCTTGTGCTTACTTCCTTGCGTACGGATGACAGCTGGGTATGACTTTAATTTATTTTCTGGTGCTTTCACTTCCAGAGACAGCAGTTATAAGCACTGCGTAACTGCCTCGAGGATGCTGGACCATTTTAACACAACGTGGTGCGATCATCCCCCTTGCGCGGAGTGAGGGTTCTCGACCCCGCACAACATGATCTACTCGACTACCATTATGGTTACCGCCAAAAAAAAAAGGAGGTAAAAAAAAAAACAGTAACCTGGTTGCCGAGTTCACGAAGTGAATTGGCTTTTTTTACAACGTCGTTGCCAAGCGACGAAAACCCAATCCCAATGGCAAACACCGAGGGGGGGGGCAGCAAGTACACTGGGGGGTGGCTTTCGAGGAAGCACTCGCGACATCCTCTCAATCGCGTGATGCTATCTATCAATGTCTGGTTTAAGCGTTCGAGGCCCGGCTCGGGTATGTTTCCAAGCAGGGTTCCGCATGCATGCATGCATGCGCACATCTTCACAGATTCCGAGCATGCGTGTTCACCTATCGGTTGGCCTCTGGTCTGCCCCGAATATCCCCTATAGCTTGACCTAACGGCTGTGACATACTGCAACACCAGGCTGAGACTGTCGTTTTCTCGTCCTCAACAATTAATTTCCTAACTCACGGCATCCAGGCTGCTTGCTGCTGTTTGCTACATTGTTTTTGCTCAAAGAATTGCCCAAAATTGTGCCGCATAAGGCAAGACGTGTGGATAGTGTAACGTCTAACCGCGGCCTTCGAGCAGACCTAGCCCTTTGGGCTTCATGTTTTCACGCCTCTTCACTGATCGGTAATCCAAACCCCAGTCACAGTATATCACCCGCCTCGCGGTTACGCTGCATGTCAAGAGAGGGAAAACAGAGCGTGTGTTGGACCTGGCCGTTGTTCTTTCGCCGCGGCGTTCGAAAGATAAACGGATGCATTGCCCGACCAAAACCGGTCCTCCCTGCCAGATGAAGTCCCTACGACAACCCATAAAAACGTAATCGCTGAGCTCGTACCTTCGGATTGCGCGCGGCTTCCTTTACGGCCGATCGCAAGGCCTCGACGGTCTTACTCGAGTCGTCGCCCAGGAGGAAGGTTGCGGCAGGCGAAGTCTCCAACGATCTGAAAACAATCTGACGGCACCGTCGTCGCAGGGAAGCGAGGGCCGCCGTCAAACCTAGGCAGTGGCTTCCTCCCTCCGTCTCTCTCGCTTTCGCTAGTTGCCGTAGACTTCCTACCCCCGGGGGGAAAGCACTTGTTGCGTCTCGTTTTTTTTGGGTCCAGGCTATTGTTGAACCATTTCGTCGTGTACCGTACGCGTCATTCAGTGGGATGTTCCGGCAGCAAGCAGGCCTTTGCCGCGGGGATACATACCCATGAACGGTGTGTCGCAGACAGGCCCGATGGATTGGAACGGTGAAGGTGTGAATACTTGTAGGCTTCACGCCAAGTTGTGGCTGCCACCAGCGGAAAACTCTAAACTTGAAAACGCAAAATAGAGCGTGCGTTTTTGCACCTGCAGGTTGGTGTGGCGTCGAGTCATGACTGACAACGCTCGGTGCCTATATAGATACCTGCGGGCGGGCATCACCTGGGTAAGGTCACACACCGCCGCGTGCCTAGCGGGTGTGATCGTCCTACAGCAGTAGTGGTAATACGATAAGCTCGTGTAACTCACATCGAACGGTCGAAGGCCTTCCGTTCGCGCGAAGGCAGCCGTGAGCGCTTGGTGCCATGCTTCGATAATGCGGTCTCGGTCAGCAGCCGAAGCGTGGCAGAACACGCTCCTAGAGTTTTTGAAACTGCGTTGTTGGCATACCGAACACAAGAAGGTCGGGGGGGGGGGAGTGATTGTGTGAACGGTAACGATCCCATGTGTAGCACGGCTCGTCTTGAGTCTCGGGGAGACAGATCGTCAGGCCGAACGAGGGGAGTTGATATCTTCCTATCTCATTGCTCGCTCTCTAGTAGTCCAGTGGCGAAGAATGAGATGAGCGCCGTACTTGAAGCACTGCTTGCTGTTGTTCTTGCGGTGGATCGTATTTATTTCTGTATTTCTACAACCGGCGATAGTCTCCACAATATGGCGTGTGCATAAGTTCTCGAACCTACACAATCCCGAGCATACATTTTGCGTATCGCTGCCGTACGTGCAGAGTCCCAGAACACGTCCGCACCCTTGCACAAGACACAAAACACGAAAGTTCACAACTTCTATGCAAGCGCAGTACACAGCAGTAACTAAACAAAGTGACATGATACAAATTACCCCATACCAACAGTATGGATCGGTTTGTAACACAACAAGACATATTGTCTTGCTACTTCACATACGACGCCTTCGCGCTACAGCAGTACAGCATCGAAGACAGCAGTAGTACCTGCTCAAAGTCGCCACAGTGCAATGCGTGTACTCTCCGTCATACGAAAGAATGGATTCATCCAAACTCGCCATCTCCTTCGCCATTCTTTGGTAGCCTTCGTCTTCCCTCCCCCAAGACCACCCCATCACCAGAACCAAACCATAGCAATCAGGCCTCTCCCCTGCATTAAGCACCGTCGCGTACGGATCGACCTCCATTTGTCACACTGCACATCGCTAAATTCTCTCTCGGCTGTCGCCAGGTCGCCCTTGTTGTGGGGGCTCCGTGAGCTAAAAGGTTCCAATTTTGAACCGTTATATTCTTGATTCTCTTTTTCATCCGTGCATCCGCGACGTACTGCTGTGTCGTGCGACAAGTAGATACATTGGTGTGGTGGTCCCCCGTCGACCGACACCTCTTGGTCATGAGCAGTGCTGATGCGATGTTTGACATCGAAGGAGGTGGCTCGAATCGAGTACAACAAGGGTACCGGATTGAGCCGCTCAACCGCCTTGCTTTTCCCAAAGGAAAGATTCCCAGATGCGAGATCTCGGGCCAGGCGGCAAGTGTCGCCTGTATCACGCCGCACATCACCCTTTACTACGCTACTGAGGAACAGGCGGAGCAGGCATGGCACGGTACGGCTGTAGAGGCCCTCAGGATCATGGTCATTCGTGAATTTAATGTTGTCGCCTCATCGAGGGTCGCATGTAGGTGAACAGCTACGAGTGGTTGTAGCCAGGCGCTATCCACACCACATGAACATATAAATGTAGAGAGCCTTCCTCGGCGCTTCCAACGCGCGACGGCAGTGCTGCAATCCTGTATGCGTCGCATGTGTACTAAATGTGTCATGGCTCATTTTTGAGTTCAGTCGTCCGGCTGTACACAGACTAAGATAATGTTTGTGCTTCCTCGTCATCCTTGCCCGAAGCAGGGATCATGCACAAGATATCGCCGTTGATCGGTCCGCTGCGAGCGACGCCACAAATCATCGGGTCAGAAGAAGAACGTGCGCGCCGAGAGTACACCGTTCAAATGAGCAAAAGAGCACTGATCGACTTATGCCAGCAGGAAGCATCAAAGCTTCTTGTCCAGGGACGATATGACCTCGCCGTTCCCGGTGCCATCCAGGTAAACACTCCAATTGCAAATGGTAATGTTTGACCTAGACTACGGTACATGCTGCTGTAGCAAATAAATGATGATGACATACGAAGAGCTCGTTCATATGTATCGACATGTACATATGTAGCAGTCGGGACAATAATCGATCTCCCTCCAAAATCGCCGCCGTTCGTTTCTAGGCTCTCGCGTTCTCGAAGGAAATATTCGGGGATGGCAGTATCGAGACAGTTCCACCGTACCTCCTCCTGTCAGAGGCAAACTTGGGGCTAGGGCTTCTTCAAAGCGCCGAGGGATTTCTCTCGATGGCCAACTGGTCGATCCTGAAGACGCCCGAATGCAGCAATGCCATCCGAAGCCAGGTGATGAGGTGAAAATATCACGGGGAGGTAGTGGCGAGAGAACAGCGAGACTAATAGACCGTGAGCAACTCAAGCACAGCGAAATCAAGGCATACAAAGAGAGGTAGTCAACACACACCATTTGTAGGCTCTTTCAGGTTGGGCTCACTACATAATGTAGTTTTGCACAACGACGCTCCCGCCTTATCATTCCGAACACCACGGATTTGTCATCAACATGCACAACATGTTGACGAACGATGTTTCCACTCAATATGCATGAACAGCTGCATCGGAACTTTGGAAAGCTACACACTGCACAAAACAAACTAGATGAGGCGCTGGATGATCTCAGCAAAGACGTTTACTGCTCTTCACTGGAAGTGGGGCCGGAGCACATCGACACATCAGCCGGATTTTTTCTGATTGCCAACATTTTTTACGCCCAGAGAAAGGTGAAGTGGAATACCTGTGCCCTTCGGAAATTGAAGGTAGGAACCCAATTCACAAAGACGGTGATAAACTTCGTGATGGGCTCTCTTGTGAATCCATGACGATAGATAGCAGCTTCTTGGCTCTGACGACGCCCAATCGGTTCTTATGTTGATCACCAACAAACGAGCAGGTGCCACCCAGAACGACGCTTCAACCCGCACTGCAAAATCTCACTTCGAGACATACTGTAGTGTCATAGTACGGTCCTCGTTTCATGCGCTTCTTCGTAGCGCACGCGTTCTGTTCTCCAGCGTAGCTCTCGTCAATTTCAGAGGGCCTTGCTTGGCACCCCGCCGACACCGCTGTATACCGTACACAATGCACAGAACACAGCTCTGTACGAAATCGCACCATATTTGAAAGGTGTCTGTGTGGATAACGACGTAGAAATCAGGCCGGATGAGAGCAGGTTGTATCCTGTTGTGCACTCTCTGCTCGCGAAGGCCTGTTCATGTTACTTCCTGTCTATATCGTCCGGGTGCGTGAACACCGTTTGAACTACTACGCATTCTCATGTGGTTCATGTACTACGTTGTCGGAAACATGAAGGTGGAGAGCTCCTTGGCTTTTTACGATAAAGTCGTCGACATCTGGTATAAGTTCTTGGCGAGCGTGCGCAACGACGCTAACCTGGCCGAGAATGTCGGAAAGGCGCAGTTGTCCGAAGGCATGGATATGCTCACACGAGTGCTCAACACACGGGTCAACTTGCTTGGAGATACCCACATCGCCACGGTAAGGGAAATGAATGGTCCTTGCGTGATTTTCACCGTCCCTCGTCTCATCAAGAACGCAATGGCTTAAACCTTAAAACACTCTCTTTACAGGAGGTTCTTTCGGATACAGGCTGGCGTTGGTTTTCATGAGCTTTCTTTCCGCGGACCATACCGTAGGGGCACTAACACTTGCGCGCGATAAGTAAAATGGAGCGTATGATGCAGTCGATAAGCACATACACGGAGGACTCGGTTAGAGGCGAGCACTAGAAGCGAAGAGAAGTAAGTGTCTTGTACTTACGCCGCTCCGGTGAAAGAGGGGGTGCTTGAGGAAGCTTTTCGACTCCTGATCGCCCCCGTGCTGGGTAAAATTTTACACCGTCTTTGGATTAATGGAGTTTCCTGATCAAACCCACGGGAGACCTTTGCAAATGAGAGATGTGCTGCCTCGTTTCTTGAATGCTATCGGGGTCTATCCTTCGCTGAAAGGTTCGCCTGCCTAGCGCATGGCTGGCCATCAACTGGCTTCGCTTGTATGCCGCAAAGGAAAGCCGGGGGCGGAGTTTGGGAAGTTTGGGGATCGAATACAGCGCTCGGAAAAGATGAGATGTCCTCGTACCTCACGGGGGTAACCTTAAGGAAGCCCTTTGGCCCTAACGGGCGGGAGGGTACATAAAATCTTGCGTCAGGTTGACGAACGTATGTGTTCATGTGTTGCTGGACTCAGGGCGAAGCACGATGCACTTTAGGACTGCTCCACCTCTTCGTTGCGGACAAAGCGGCGGCAATTGATCATCTTACCTTAGCGTCTGAGATCTACACCCAACAGCTGGTGAGTGGTGGCGGATACGCAAATACTATCGTACGGAGTTCGTAAGAAGAACGACGAGGCACCGAGCCTCTCGTATGTACCTACTCTTCTGCACGCACTGCTCAGGCAGTAAGTAGACTACTGCCTGCGCCCCGAAGTGTTGCCGTGAGAGGCACGTGAAAGTCGATCCAGATAAGGCTTTGGCCGACCGATTAGCTCCCCGCTGGCAATCCCTGCACGAAATGGTAAACAGTGACCGTGAGGCTGACCGCCGCACTTTTTCCGCATTCCTATCGTCGGGGTACAATACTGCCCGCTCGATGAAGTAAATGGCAGGCAAGCACGTTTTACCCGAACCCTCCCGCTTTCGTATTAAATAGTACCTTTTCCTGATGCTGCCGCCCTTCTATGGGTTCGCCGCTTTATCGAAACCTCAGGGGAGTGACCACGCATCTACTCAGGATGTCGTGGATAACCTTGTGCAGCTAGGCGGTCCTCGGCCCCGGCCTCTCGGTCTCGAAGCAGAAAGCACCGGCGAGAACAACAACAACAACGGTGAAGACGTCGGTTCACCGGCAACACCCACGGTAGACGTCGAGAAAGAGGGAGAAGAAGGGGCGAACGCCGGCGAGGGAGAGTTGAGAGACCAGAGGGCATCGCAGCTGTCGACGCAAGACTCGGGCGCGTCGTTGCTGAGCCAGTTCCCGCCGACGCAAGAGATGCCCCGAGCTGTAATGCAGTCTCCGATACCGCTCCCGCCCGGGGGAGAACCAAGAGTCCAACCCGAACCGGATGATGACGCGATGCGCATGTCTCCTCCTGCGTCAGCCGGTTGAAATTCGCACCTAGGGCGTGCCTAGCCCATACCACGTAGGTTTATCGCTCGGGTACCCTCGTTTCTGAGGCATACGCATACCTTTGGCGGAAGAAGCGTTGGGATACGTTGTTTCCGAGCCCTCAACATTCGCGTGTGGCCAAGGGCACCCGGATTTTTTCTTCGTCAACACGTGGTGCCCATTTTCTTGTTTCGAAGATTTTCCAGGGGGGGGTACCGGTAGTCTTCATTTCCTGCGTAGTCTAAAGCATGGGGACTCCGTGGGGGCAACGTGGTTCGCTTCCGGGTACCCCTATCCGGGAGCTAAGATCCTCTCTTGCAAACCTCTTAAGCAAATTATCACCAAACGGGGCACGCGGCACATCGAGAGAGCACCTCACTCGCTCAAAGTGGGTGAAACATCGTCACTACATAGCACACGAGGTGCCCCACCGACTTGCTGGACGTGTACTCTAAACCCCAAGACAAGCAAATTGAAAACACAAAAATCGGGCCTCCGGGGGGGATGCGGGATGCTTAGGTATGCGGGTTAACTTTTCCGGGTACCCTTTGTTGGCGACAAAAAATCGGAACAGGTTTTTGTCTGGGGCGGGGCGGCGCTGATCCAGCCGACCACGTCGACGAGTCCGCATCACAACTCTTGTGTGTGTCGACCTAATGATAAAATGAAGAGATCCAGCTAACACAGCAGGGCTGCCTCTAAGTGATGTGTTTGCGTGACGAGGCCGTTCGTGGATTCGTAGTGCGGGCTGGCCGGCGAGCCTTGGGGGTGGCACGAACAGTGAAAATTTTCGCGACAGGCATCCAACACGTTCTGAAACTTCAACATCAAACTTTTAGCGATTTCGATCTAAAGAGACGCGGGTATCAACACCGGTCCCAGAAAAGAGGAAAAGTAACTTGAAAAGCGATCCCTCAACCCGCCCGTTAACGCCGTCTCCGGCAAAAAAAACAAAAAATAAATAAACAAACAAACAACGCCCGCCGAAAGAAGGGAATACGCATTTCCTGCTCCAGCCTTCCTGCCCCCCCCCCCCCTCCCCACCCCCGGCCAAATGCGTCACACACGCGCGCCGAACTCCTAAATTATTGAAGTAGCGCGACGCAACGCACGCCGCAGCTGCATCACTGGCATGTCTGAGTCACCCATCCAACACCCAAACTCCCCAAGCCGACAGGAGACACATGATCAATCTGACGAACCGTGCACCCACCACCTTATTACGAGACACGGTATCTTACTCTCTGCAAGCCATTGATGCACTTAAAGCCAGCATTTCCCCCGCTTCTGCTCGGATGCTGTTGGGCGCGATTGATCCGCGCCGCTTAAAAGGTTCCGGCGCTACAGCGTGGTGTGTTCTACTGCTACTTCTACAAGTCATGGCACGGGCGGGAGTCGCAAGCACAAGCGAGATATCAAGTTGGCACAGCTCAAATCCCGAAGTTTACAGATCCGCGGTAAATGATCGCGGAATGGAACACCTTAATGAAGAGGTGCGTAGAAAAAAAATAACATATCCTTGAAACGTACACAACGCCCTTTAGACCCAGACATGAAAAAAGGAAAAGGCTAAGCCGCCTGATATTATAGCAAGATTGCGCTTCGCAATGGTGCAACGGTCACCACCGACTATGGCAAGCAGCAAGCATGTACATGGTAATCAGCAAGCAAGCATGTACATTAGTATGCGGGCTTCAGGAAAAAGTGAGGCTGGCTCGCGGTTGAAGCTGGAACAAAAAAAAAGGATAGCAACCAACCCTCTCCCTGCGTGTCAAACCTTAAAACTACACCTAACTACAGCAACAACGACCGAATCTATATGACTAACCGCATACACTACGTACACAGCACTCCCCCCGCCTGCTTCCAGAAATCGTCCAGTCCTTCTTTCGACACTCTTGTTCAACGCACGACGCGTGTCGGGCCATTACTCTAAGGAACCTGTCGCCAAAACGCTTCCCCCTCTCCCCTTCGGACGGGCACACAGAAGCCGTAGCAAGCAGCACGCAACGCAAACCCGTCCAGCATCCCCCCCCCCCCCCCGGTCGTCAAATTACATCACCGCGCAGCTCCAGCCGCCCCCTTCCTCGTCCGCCGCCCCGACTCCGCCGCCTCCGAATCTGAACAAACCGCCCCCCAACCCCGCGCCGCCGCCCTTCTGGCCGTTCCTGTCGGAGTTCCCGCTGCGGGCCCGAGGGGACGGGCGAGCCTTCTTAGCTCCCGATCGAAGGCGCGTGGTCATGGGATCCACTCCTCCCGAGGGAGAGGCGCGCTTGCGGGACGCCGACGCCGCCGACCCCCCCGCCGCCGCAGATGCCGCCGCCGCCGCCGCTCCCGGCCCCGGCGGGGTCTTCGCCGCCGGGCTCTTAGCGCGGGGCCGCAAGGGCCCGTTGCGCTTCGGTGTGGTCTTGGGCTTGAGCTTGGGCTTGACGGTCGACGAAGGGGCGGGGCGCTTGGCCGCCGGCGGCGCAGGTGGAGGAGACGTG